TTTTCATCAATATGTTGTTGATTTTTAGCCTCAATATGTGGTGGCACTTGTGCGTCAGTAGATGGTTGTGCGATAGTTGGTGTTTGTAGCTTGACTATTCCCTTTTCGCCCGTGATTGTTTGCGTTATTAATTCGACGTTAATATCTGAATTTATACCTGGTTTTTGTTGATCGGTAGCGATAACAATTTTATTATTATAACCTATCACTTGACCGATCTTAAGTTCCATATTACTCGGAGACATGTATAATCCCGGCACATAAACGTAGTCCACTTTGGATTGAGCGTACTGTAATGCATCTTGAAAACGTTTTATAGACGATGGTATGTCAACTGGTGAATTAATGGCGTCCTCCACGTTTGTGACAAACTGTTTTTGTGCATCGAACGCCGTCCCAGTACCGATAATGGACGTTCGTGTTTGCGATTGTGCACCGAGAATTGTCCACACATAAGTTCTTATCGATTCATTAAATCTTACAAATCCTGGGTTAGTAAAATTATTTTCCGTTTTATCATTAAGAAATTCATTCCAAGCGTCATCATTCAGTTGTACAAAATTTTTAACAATATAAATAGACCCACTCTTAAAACTCATAATATCCCCTCTCCAATCGTTACTATAAAGTTCCCAGCCTTTATACCAATGACTGGTTTTATGCCAATGATCATATATTCTTGAGTAAAGTTTGCTGTCCTGCCTCAACTTATAAAAAATAAGACCAGGTTTATGAAGTTCTCTATAGACATAATCGCTTTCTTCTTTGAGGGTTGTTATTTCATCTGCGTAAGGAACTCCTAGACCATGGTTTGCTCCTTTAATGCGCCAATCTTTCCTCGTAGAAACATTAAATTCCTGACAAATACGCTCATACGCGGACCTATCATAATTATTATTTGTGGAATTCCACACTCGATCCTGCGGTAATGGAGCACTTATTTCTTTAAGTATACGTCTAATCTGATAGTACACGTGAAATGATATAACAGACTTATTTAGCATAAATCCTGGGTCATTAACAGATACACCACATCCCGTTGTGGCACACCATACTGCAAAGTTTAACTGATTCTGCCAAAATTGCATCGGATTGTGAAACCAATCGTGCACCATTTTATCGCTAGTTGCTGTGACCCTGTACTTTTCAAAGATATCAGGGAATTTAACGATAAATTCAGCACCAGAGGCAGTTACTATAATCGATTGATTAGTAATGTAAGTTGATTTCATATTTAAGTTATGATATAGTATCATTGTATATTTAATATGTATGTTACACTCCCGGGAATAACAAATGGTCAGTCTATTGAACTGCTTCATACTATGGATAACTCGGTTGGACAACTTGAAGTAGGTCTATGCGATGTAACGTATTACCCACGGTGGACCAATATAAATGCTGCGAGGGGTTATAATAATGAGACAGAAATAAATGGTGAAAAATATATTATACCTGATTGGTATTACAGCGTATGCTCACTCAATGATGAATTTATTAAGCCTAATGGAGTTAGTCTAACACAAAATGAGTCGAATGGGTTACTGATTTTAAACGCTGGAAAAAAGGATGTAAAGCTTTACGAGAACTTAGCATACACACTTGGATGGAGAGGAGAAATAACAGTACTCAAGACATCAGATCAGGGACTCGATTTACCTGATTTAGTTCCCTATAAAGAGTTGTGCATCCATCTTGATCAGATCAGTACGACGGATAATATTCAACAAGAAAGTCCTTCAACTCTACTCAGATGTGTTCCAGTTAAAGATGAAAAATACAATAGTGGTAGAACGGAATCTTTCTTAACATTACAATATAAAAAATTAAAGCGGGGTATTATTTCAGACCTCAAAATTTCTATATTAGATGTAAAACACCAACCTGTACATATAGGATACTTAAGTGTAACACTCCATATTATAAATAATGGTTGATTCCATATTTAAGTTATGATATAGTATCATTGTATATTTGATATGTATGTTACACTCCTGGGAATAACAAATGGTCAGTCTATTCAACTGCTTCGTACTATCGATAACTCGGATAGTCAGCTCGAAGTCGCTCTATGCGATGTAACGTATTACCCATGGTGGACCAATATAAATGCTGCAAAAGATAATAATAGGATAATACTATTAACTTCATTTGGTACTATTATCAAATACATTACTATACCTGATTGGTATTACAGCGTAAGCTCACTCAATGATGAAATTTTTAAGCCTAATGGAGTTAGTCTCACACAAAATGAGGCGACTGGGACAGTGAAATTCGAAAATGAAAAAACTATAGTTTTATTTGACCAATCAGCTACACTTGAATTTATTCGCTTAATTGGCATACATCAGGAGGTTAAATTACCCGATTTAGTTCCCTATAAAGAGTTGTGTATCCATCTTGATCAAATCAGTATGACAAATAATATTCAACGAGAAAGTCCTTCAACTCTGCTCAGATCTGTTCCAGTGAAAAATGAAAAATATAATAGTGGTAGAATGGAATCTTTCTCGTCATTACAATATAAAAAATTGAAGCGTGGTATTATTTCAGACCTCAAAATTTCTGTATTAGATGTAAAACACCAACCAGTACATATAGGATACTTAAGTGTAACACTCCATATTAAAAATAATGGTTGATGCATCAGGCCCTGGAACGCTCAGACAATGTAATACAATTGCGCTTTCCGATCTTGGAGACACAGAAGGATTCGATAAACTCGGTACCAATGGTAAGTTATACGCTTTACACTTACACGATAATGTATACAAGCGGAAAGAAGTCACATTCACGGGTAAACTAGAAGATTTAAGCGATGTCGACGTTAGTAGACTCCTTAAAAACACTTCGTACAATATTATTCGCAACGACGATAATAAATGGACTATGGTCGACGCAAACATCAAGTGGCTACTGAATATCGTCATTACCCCACCGTATGCGATGATGGGTAAGGGACATAATTTAACTAAGATAATAAATAGTGGCATCGTACTCGCGGCTTATATCCCATCAAAACAAAAAAAGTGTGTTAGTTACCCCCCTGCCAGAAAACCCAGGTCATATGTTATATAGTCGTCCGGCCTTAAAAAATGTTACTTTAAATTTGGTTACTGAATTCGAAGATGTTAAACAGAACTTGAGTGCAATACCTAATATTTCTACTCTTATTATTGAAGTCTTGTTCGGAGATGTACCGGAAGATGCCTTCGAAATATTACCAGGTCTATCGATTAAATGGCTCAAGAAACACGAGCGTCGACGTTGTAGTATTATTCATATCGGAGCATCGCCCGTTGCAACCCTCGAGGGGGTTCAAATTATTAAAAGGGGTAGTATTTCTCTTACTAAGATATTCTTGCCGTATAATATACATTTGATAAGGTTGATGTATAGTCTCAAAACATTTAAGCAAGACCAATTAAAGACTATTATACGTAATATACACTATGAGTTTATATCCAGCGCTCGATGAAGCAATTGAAAAGATGGAAACTGTTGATGGATTTCGATTACATCAAATAAGCGACATAAAACATCGAATAGAGAAGGATAGGGAGTTGAGACTTGGATTGTATAAAAAGTATCGCAGAGCCGTGAATGCTCTGGACGGAGTTGACACCGCGCTTGTAGCAGCTGGCATGGGACTCGGTGTAGCTGGTGTCGGTTAATTATCAACTATAATCGCCGCGCCTATCGTGCCAGGCATGGAAATAGCCGCTGGAGTCTCGGGACTGGCAGGAATAGCGATAAAATTCATTTCTCGTGGGTTACAAAAGAAAGCATTAAAACACGATAGTATTCGGATACTCGCCGAAGCAAAGTTGAACAGCATTGAGGATCATATTTCGACAGCAATGGTCGATTGTAAGATATCCGAGGATGAGTTTCGTTTAGTGTTGTCAGAACTCACCAAATACAATGAAATGAAGCAGGAGATTCGATCAAAATCTCTTAAGACCAGTGGTATTAGCGAAGACGAGAAAAAAAAGTTCATAGAACAGGGGAGGCAACAAGCGCGTCAATTATTCCGTGCCAAAACCAAAGAACTGGTTGGAGATTAAAAATAGATTGCTAACTATCGTTTGATCACATTTAGACAAATACTTACATAAATATATATAATAATGGAGATCAAAAAAGCTATTAAATGGAGAGAATTACCACAAGGTTTTTATTATATCAGTGATGTCAAACCAACCAAATACGGTTATCAATTGTTTCTTATCAATTTACAAGAAGAGTGTAGTTATATAGCCTGGTCTCCTAGTAAAATGAACGAAGAACTTAATAAAAATGTTGAATATCGCTTTATCGATAAAAATAATGAAGAATATTTTTATTACCATTTAGGCTCATCTAAAGCAATGATTTGCCCCAGGTATTGGTGAGCTAGAGCCAATTTAACTTAATCTCATGACTATCATTGAATCGCATAATCATTTTGGCATAAAAAATGCCACCTGTAGTAGCAGTATAGGTATATGAATCCGGCTCCAGTGGAAGTGGTCCAGAACCCCCATTACCTATACTACTAATGGAGGTGCTGACCCCCAAGGGTATGATGGGGCGGGGCTAAATAGGGGTAATTTGGTTATATTGCTGTAAACGACTTCTTCTCTGGGACTAAGAGATAGATATCAACCATATTTGGTTGGAAGCATTCTCCAATGGTGGGGATTCAAAAATGGTGGGGAGAAATTGAGGGGCTGAACACCCTGGATCATAACATGAAAACGGTTCAGATCTTTGTGCTTCATTTGTATCTAGAGAAGTACACGTTCATGCTGTCAGATTTGCCATCCACCCCTTTTAAATGCTGAGTCAAAATTACGAAATATTTGCAGTATTATATACATGTACAATGCAAATGTATATTTTGTCATGATTGCATAAATATCCAGGTGAGCGATACAGGCCCTATGGGCTGGATATGTGTAATTACTTCATTGTGAAATTCTCACCAGGTAAATATGTAATACATCTTAATCCAGGTTTATGCAGGATCATGTCTTCATTTGGCGCTATGCTTGGTGCTTGTGTGGCACCTGCATTACTCCCTGTGGTCATCGGAGGAGCGGCAGGTATGTTTGCATTCGTCACCACTTGCCTCTTTCCGTAACCCGCTATTCGGCTTGTCCCGGAATAACACGAGTTGGTCACGAATGGTATGTTTGTGGACAGTTGCAGGAACAAGGGTTGCCTTGTAATCATACGGAACCTTTTCCCGATCATCCAGTGTATAGTGTTTATAAAATCCGGACCCGAGCTTAGACAAAGTTACTGCATGCGTTCGATTTCTAAACCCTGGACGATCCGTGTGAACCTGTGTTGATCAATGTATAGCCCAAGTCAACATTGATTGACCAAATTGAATGCCGGCATATGTTAACTCATTTGCCTCATACTTAGGTTGCACATACCTAATGAACCCTGGTGATGGGGTACTCTGGTTAGCAGACTCCAAGTTACATCATCGCTAAAGTTAATTAATTTCATTTATTGATTCAGTAATGAATAAATGCATTTAATAAATAGACTTAACCAGGTGTTAATAGCCTATAGTATTCTGATATGCCTCAGGGCAATTTAACTTTCGTTGATATAAATACTTTAGAATCAATAATGCAGCTTTGGTGATGATTTTCCATCTTTGTTTGATTTTCAAGGCGTTATGTTGAACGTTTTTGTCGTTGTACATGCATGTACATTAAATAGAAAAGGTTCAATGACAGCTTTGCCAGGCAATGAAATACTTGTAAAGCTCCATAGTTGTGTATTTTTGCTTATGGGGTTGTGTTTCTCCTTCTCCTGCCAGCCATTATTTAACCGAGGTTGGAGTTTGCTTCGGGCACGGCCCTAAGTTATCCTTGAATAATTTCATACTTTAATCAATCAAACTGCGAAACAAAATGCGACATCATACGAGTTAGACCTTTGTATATTGAGTCGAAATGAAGACTGTTATAAGTGAACTTTTATCTTGGAAAGTAAGTCCTTGTTATTTGCTTCTGTTCGCTTTTGAAACAATGAACCGCATGTTTCAACTGGCTGAGATTTGGCCATTGCGTCGTTAAATATTACTTCATGAAACAATAGTGTGATTTGATTGAAAGATTTAGCATATTATAATGTGACCTGAACTGGTTAGAGGGTAATTATACTTATATAGAATGGAGATAATACACTGGATAAACGACGATGACGGGACCCATATTTAACTTGTAATATTTTCACCTTCATAGTAGTTTCAATACTGAGTGGTTAAAAGGACATTTTGATAACATGAATGTTTGAAGGGAATGTTATCGCAAGAGACGTAGCCCAGTTTTTGGATTCAAACTGATTTCGCACTCTGATCTCTGTCTACTACAACGTGAATCGACACAATCATCGATACGAAAACACACAGTCACCTAAAAGTGTTGACAGAATTAATCTGTACAGAAATTCAATTGTGTATATCAGTGAGAATATTGCACCAAAATATGTATCTGTTTCAGGAATGACTCTTCAGTGGGTTATATCATCTGCACCCAGGCTTATCAGGAAACTGCCGATTGGTATTGTTTAATGCATTATACATTGTAGAGATAAGGCCACAATAAATTATGTGAAGAAATTCTATTTTTATATCCATAATTTCGTAAGAAACGGATCAAGACGTGTATATTAACTGTTGAAGGGTGTGATTTAAATGAAATATGAATGTAGAATATCACTTCACTAATCAAACAATGAATTTAACAAACGGAAACCAGAATGTAGTATTGTATCACTTTCCCTGCTAGTTGTCCTCTTACGTCCAATGGAATCGGTTTCGGCAGGTAATAAAGGACTCATAATGCTCAGGCGTTGATATTATGTATTCAGTATGAATCAATACAACACTGTTATCTTCCCAGTAATGTTGGCGCCGAAAGCCCACTCCTCTAGGGCGCCGCATTTTTCGTCCCAAACTTGCGCTAGCTTCCGATAATGATGGGTTCGAATCCCACATTCGCCCAAATAATGATCCTTAGTGCCATATACCGTTACTCGTTGGTTCTACCAAAGTTGTAGACATCTATGTCCGGTGAAACTACTGAAATACTGTTCAAATCATTCACTCGGCTTAGGCTGAATTGCGTCATACAATAAAATTAGCATCTTGCTCTTATATTCATAGATATCTCTTATATCAGTGTATAATACTCTTCACCTACAGGTATCCTTGCGAGAGTGACTTGGCCAATTGCTGGTGCTATTTTCGGGTTCTGGCTTTTTGGTGTTTTGGGAGCAATACCAGGTTTGATAGTGACAACTTGTTTCCGATTATGTTGCTGCAATGGTTGAACTCTCGTGTTCCAATATCATTAAAATCAGATCTTATTTCTCGCTACCACAAAGATCTTAGGACATATCCCGTTACAGGTCACCTCAAAATGAACTTTCCCAAAGTTTGACCGACCAATGGAAAGACAGGGAATCGAAATTACTCCATAAGAAATATGTTTTCTCGAGCTTTACTGCACAAGTTACGAAGTGGCGACTTCATTCCAGACTAGGCTTATGTTTACAAAGTTCTCGATTGAAAACTTTAAAATCTGAACAAAAGCAAATTCTGAAATGTCTAATAGATGGTATGGCAGTAATTTCCAAGGGCTTTGGAAAGTCTCTTCCGTTTCAAGTATTTATCCAGTTGTTTAAAGCGAGATATAAACGATGACTTTGATAGATATTGAATGTAAATTTCGATTTTGATAACATATTTTGATGTATTGTTTAGAATAACTTTTAAGAATTTAGTGTATTTTCGTCCATTGTTCCACTGAAAATGAACTACGAAAACCAAGTGATTTGAAAAAAAGGTCTTGCTTTTTCACCAGCAGTTATCTCACTCCGTGTTTTTAGTCGAAATATTCACTTCTGTTGGCTTCAATATCTGTTTGTTTTTTCGGCAGGGTGTGTATTGTTCTGCTTGAAGGGGGACAGGTACAAGACTATGATTGGCACCCTGATTGGTTTGACGGAGGAAGAAAGGACCACTTTAGTCATGCAGATTCAAGGCGTGGTTGGCTCTCAGCAGAGAGAGGATATCACAAGCTTTATCTCATCCCAGTCAAACAGGAAAGAATTAATACGTACTCTGTATGAATACTCTGAACACCCACATAGACAGGGCTGGTGAACTTACACACCTAGACAAAATACCGAATACAATGTATTTCCATATAATCTTCTTCTTTTAAACGTATCCTGTGTGAATTTACGGATGAAACATTAATTTCATTATCAGTGTTCACTGCGTGACACACTCATATTGAAATCGAGTATCCAATAAGATGTGTAAGTATTCCGTGACATTAGTTATGTACATACCCTTTCAATGGCCACCTCTGAGTCTTATATGGTGTGAACAAGTACCAGAGTCCTTATATAACATTATACAGCGTTCGCAAATTACGTATCGGTGGTATCTTATACATTAAAATGAGGTAAATTTCAAATGTAAATGTTTACAAAAGTCACATGGAAGTTCAGAATGTATGGAAATAAAGGTGTGTTTATAGGTTTCCATACAGTGCAATATCGACAGGTCAATTCAAGTGAAATGAGATTTAACGTCACATTCAAGATTATTTCACTTTCATTTCTATGCGCGTTTGGTTGCTTGTAGAGACCATGCCGCAGTTTAACTTGGATGCGCAACTCAGAAACATTATACTGACAAGTATACTTGTTATTCATGTTCTTTACACACTAGAAAGTGGAATAAAACAAGAAATGAGTATCAGTAAAAGTCCCATATAAGTGGAAGCAAATTAATTTTTACGAGCAACCTGGACTCATCATGGTCCACAGATGAAGGCGAAATGAGGCATCCCTTTGGCGCTGGATGATAAAAGGGGCGGTTCATTCAGCTATTGTTTTCATACGCCGTTGCGTCCGTGAGTTACAGATGAAACTTTTGTTAAAGTCTACTTCATCAAAAGTTGTTATGTTAAATATAAAACTACCGTCGGTTTTGGTTGGGATTGCAGGCCCTTAGGAATTGGAATTACTGCAGATAAGCACTTTGTAAACAGCAAGGCCTGTAAACTGTCCTCTATAAAAAGATCCAGGGGAGGGGAACACACACACACACACACACACACACACACACACACACACACACACAAACACACACACACACCAACACCAACAACCCCCCCCCCCCCCCCCCCCCCCCCCCCCCCCGGAAAATGAGTAATTGCTATAAAACACCGGATTACCGGAGGAGATTTACTAGAGAGTCGTTTCGTAAAAAAATAATAATAAATACAGTTGGATGTATATAGACCGGAGAAGAGATGATCAGTTTCTTAATTGAACAAACAATTAGTTTCTTAGTTGATATGGATTATGATACCGGTGGGTTTAGAGGAGAGTATTTATTATTTATGTATTTACCATTATATTTTAAGATATAAGTAATTGTTGTTTTTGTAGAAATAATAATGTACATATATGAAATATTAAAGTATTAGAGTTATTAAATTTGTTAAATGTAAAGTACTTTTGTGCAACTATACTATACTTCAGCATCTAATAAATTACTACTGTAAATACGGTATACGCATTTCTGTGTTTTTCTTGTAATTTGAGAGTCCCGGTACAGCAATATCCCGTGTTTACTGTAGCGTGACCAGTCTTACTGTAGCTTCACGAAAGCGAAGAGCTTTTAGAGTTCATTATGGCTAGATTTCGCTCTCCCGGCCCAGAACCATCTTAATTAGGAGTGTGAATGTGCCTGCTGAAACCATTAGTCGATGTACTGTTAGCACAATAGTACAGCATTTCTTTGCCAGTTTTAAATATCAAATAAAACATCTAAACTTGAACGGTTACGAAACTATCTCTAACTTCCACCACATTGTAACCCACCTTGCTTGATAGCATGATGTTTGAAATCCACGTGTATGGACTGTATTTGATCAATCAGTAAGATCATATAGCACAGCACATTCTGGACGAACAAGTTGGAGCAGTTCCCCCTCAACTACCAAAGAAATTAATATAAGCAAACAAGACGGATAGCAATACCGGTTGTTACTACATGTGTGCTACGAACATTTAGTATCAATCTTCTCTTACTTGTATTTCCCTACACCCTTGTTAATTCTGATCAGATATTAGAAGTACATTCACTGACATTAACACATGTTTAGGCTTCAGCTTTCGTTTTTTAATACCTTTTCATGGGGTTGGGGGGTTGGATGTTCCAAAACAAGGTATATCGCTTCACAGGAATCAGTGAGTGAGTTGGGTTTAACGCCGCTTTTAAGAGTATTCCAGTCATATCACGTGTCAGATTAATTTGGGAGGGAAGCCCGAAGTGATGCAGGTCTCAGACGTTTACCACTTCGGTGAAACCCACTAGCACCAGTATGGTGCTGACAAACCTAGAAACATAATCGGGGCGAACGAGGATTCGATCCCACAATCATAGGTGTCTGGTGTGTCCAAGGGACGCAACTCTGCACAGCGAATCGCGGCGCCTTAGACGACCGGGCCACCCGTGTCCCTCGCTTCACAGGAAGTTTATTAAATTAAATATAGTTTCTTTGGTTTCGCTCAAAGTCTTGTTTTCCACGCATCAACGTAATCATTTCCTGATATAATACACATGGCTAACTACATTAAACAAGTGACGTTATATAGTATTGTGTTATTTGACTAATATTGCATGTATATATGTAGGTATAGAACACATGTTATCTCGAAAGTTATGAAACTATCATCACAATGAGATGAGATTTTATGAGTGACATCGATGACCACCTCCCCCCCTCCCCACTCCCGAGTCGTATTTCATCCGGGAACATGAACCATGAAACATGACATCGACAGTTGCATACGTCCACGTTGTTTCTATTACTTGATGGTGATACATGTACTTCAGTGTAGTAAAACTTGCTTCCCTGTTGCGAAGAGTTTGAAATTTTAAATTTATAAAAAATATAACCATGAAATTCTAGTTATTTATTATTTAACGTGAAATAGTAAATGTTTTTCATTCAAGCTTATACATTATTGACTGAAATCATACCAACATCGTAACACGTAATATTTATTGCACTTTGAGTGTCAATCGCTCATTTCTTAACTATTACTGCAAATTTCAGGAGTCTAATCATGGCTTGCATGATGTAATGTTTATATAAACCTGGACATAGTTTTGTGTGTGCAATACTTGCTTTTCCAACATGACATTTGATGCATATGTAACACAATGCACTATAATAAAACATATATTTTTTTAACAGCCTTCTTACTACAGTGACAATGTTTTCTTTTTTTTATAGCTAAAGTATTGCACGTGCAATAGTTGAGGTGACGTGGAGTTTAACGTCGCGTTCAAGATTATTCCACTTATGTAGCGACGTGCATGTGCGTGTTTGTTGCTGCTTGTACTGGTCCGGACTCATGTCGGTTTTATTTAGTGCTTGCCCACTGTGATAACCCACTAATTGTACTGACTTTGGACCGACCAGTCCTCGTTTTATCGCCATAACGCCGAGCGCAAGGTAGGGTAACAATATGTACTAGCCTTTTTTACGTCTTTTCTTTGACGCGGGCGGAGAACCACCGGCTTACTGACATGGTGGTTGTGTACAAAACATAGTTTGCACATGTCGATTTGAGCTCTAACTTGAGACCATATTACCGTAAAACAAATCCAGTACAGCAGGCCAACAAGGTTGCTATTCGATAAAGAACGTATTCAAAGGAAGCGGTTTTCATCTCAATCGTGATATGACTGGAATAATGTTAACTCACTAGTCGAACATTCAAGAATACATTTTCTGGAAGCAAAGAAAAAATCTCAAATTGATACAGTCACCTACCGGCGCGGTTTGGGATGGAGGGAGTAAGGTAAGGTGAGGTTAAACTGGGTTTAAGATTATTGCACTTATACAGCGACGTGCATGCACGTGTGTGTGTGTGTGTGGCTGCTTGTAATAGTCCGGCCTGATGCTAGCTCACTGAGATACCATGCCGCAGTTTAACATGAATACCCTACTCAGACACAGTATACTGACTCCGAGCCGACAAGTCCTGGTTTTAGCCCCTAAATGCCGAGCGCCAGACAGGGTAACAACAAGTACCATCTTTTAACGTCTTTTGGTATGACGCGGCCGGGGATCGAACCCTGGACCTTCCGTTCTCCGTAAAATCAGACAGCAGGTGGTGGTATACTGTGCCGTCCCTCATAGTCGCGGAGAATAGGTGGAGGAGAGTTTCTTGGGCTTCTGTCCGGCTCGGTACTGAAGCACATGTTACATATGTGGTCTTCCATTAGACAAGCGACAGCCACACCAGTGAGTGGGTACCCGGTGGGATGCGATGGTAATGTGACTGTAACCTTTAGCGGCTTATGTGCAGCTGGGGTGGTGGGATAGCCTAGTGGTGAAAGCGTTCGCTCTTCACGCCGACGACCCGGGTTCGATTCCCCACATGGGTTCAATGCGTGAAGCCCATTTCTGGTTTCCCCGCCGTGACATTGCCGGAATATTGCTAAAGCGGCGTAAAATAATACTCAGACTCTCACAGGCAGCTTCCGTTGTATACTCCCTAGTGAGCTGAGAATAAAGATCGAGTGCATACTGATCGATCTAATGACTGGGGTAATTAGGGATTCCCAGCTCCATGAGCACTGACTTGTTGAATGTAACCTAGGGTACTATATATGGTTTGACTTTTTAAGTCTTCTATTTAGACCCGTGAAGATCCGGGGTAGAATAGGTCTTCAGCAACCTATGCTTGTCGTAAGAGGCGACTAACGGGATCGGGTGGTCAGGCTCTCTGACTTGGTTGATGCATGTCATCGATCCCAATTGCGTGGATCGATGCTCATGATATCAATCACTGGATTGTCTGGTCCAGACTCGATTATTTACAGACCGCCGTCATATACATGTAGCTGGAATATTGCTGAGTGCGACGTTAAACAACAAACCAACCATTTTAAGCGGATTCTTACAAAAGTTTGCACATCGGTTTTTCGATTCATACCTCAATGAACCGAAAAAAATATACAGTCAATGCTTATAATTAAATTCAACAACGTAAAACATGTTTTATCTACAATAGTTTAACCTAAACAGTTGCATATATCAAAACAGACAAAAATGACGACATTGATAAACATTCCAGGTGTAGGAATACATACAGTGGCGTGACATGAATCAGGTGATCGTTTAATTTATGCATATAACTTTACACGCCTACACAGTCAGTAGCCAATCAACGGAGAGTGGGATTAAAACAATGTTCACTGGACCTGTCAATTAAGGCAAGAGGCGAAAAGAACTGCAACAGTCAGACTGTAAAGAACCGGAAGAAATATGCCCGAGAGAAGGCGGCTGTTTCAAATAGCATGGTCATTTACTGCGTGATTCAAACATTACTTCCCTGATTACGGTAAAACACAGTTGGAGAAATGCTAGTTAGAAATGAAACCCGATGACATGAAAGTTGAACCGAGCGGGAAAAAAACAGGCGAGCGAGCCTGCATGTTTGCTGTTTCATTCATTCTCGGCCTTCGGTTTCAAAGGGTAGTTTGGACAATGAATATGCATGAAAGTCGCTAAATGTCCTGTGCATGACGATACACGTGAGCAGAAAGGGAATTCCTTCGACTGTCATATTGGGATTCCCCGACATTCCGCAGTAATAAAAGTAGTGCGCCGCGGTGGGCGTGGCTTAATTCTTTACATTCATTGGGAAATGAATGCAATAACACGTGACCAATTCAGCTAATCAGAATGCAGGAATTTCCATGAAAACAACGAAAATTTAATTTTTGACCTTCACTTTGTGTGAGTTCATTGGAGTATGAACCTTCATAGAGTGAGGGCCAAACTGTATGAACGTCGGAGCTTGCGACAAAGTGAAGGTCAATTCTTATAATTTTTTTATCACAATTTCTTACCTCAAAAGATGTAGGCCTAGATCTAAACGCAATTTTATTTAGTACATGTGACTTCATGTTTAAACTGACAGCCATACAACAAGCAGCTATATCGCGGAGCAAAATAGTTCCTCAAAAAGAGAGGTGACATGGGCGTATGGATGCACAACTTGCTCTCCAGAAACATCTTACGCAGCACATTCGTTCAAATCATATCCTCATAAGATGAGAAAAGGTCTGTAAAGAACTACCTCAGTAAGTCAGTCACAATGACAGCGCGTCGTAATATATTTACATCAAGTACAAGACGTCAAAATGGCCGACACGATAAACGTGACGGGATAGATTTCCGAAGTTGTTGATGAACCTTTGGCGGTTACATGTGTTAGTCATCATTGATCAACTGGCCGATAATTGAAAGGTGATAAAAGATGCGTCAAACAGACACAAAGGTAATTTCATAGATTGCTGGAGACGGTCAATGTCAGCCTAGGCACGGATCGAGTGGATACTACGATAGTTTAGATGTGCATTTTTTCGTTTGTTCATTAGGATGGGCCGTAGCGATGATATTCGTGAACAATCATGCAGTCACGCTCTCTGACATTTCTCAAAGTATACTTAAACGCTGAAACGGTTCTAAATGACGAGAAAGAACGCTTATGCATGTTTTCGTGCTAGGGAATTCCCAGGGGTTTCCCCAGGAATGTGGAAGTAGTCCGTCAGTGTTTACGTCATTTCAAGAACACGGTCTCGTGAAAAACGTATGAACGTCAAATTGTGTCGTTCATACACTTATGAACGTCAATTTCGCGGTCATGTGACCGACCTCTCGTCCAATGGAAAAGCCGTATATCGTGTAAACTTCAAATTAAAAAATATTTAAGAATTGACCTTCACTTTGTGTGAGTTCATTGGAGATCTAAACACAATTTTATTTAATACGTGTGACTTCATGTTTACACTGACAGCCAAACAACAACCAGTTATATCGCGGAATAAAATAGTTCCCAGAAAGGAGAGGTGACATGAGCGTATGGATGCAGAACTTGCTCTTCAGAAACATCTTACGCAACAAATGTGTTTAAATAATATCACCATTAGATGAGAAATGTCTGTAAACAACTACCTCAGTAAGTCAGACACAATGACAGCGCGTCGTAATACATTTACATCAAGTACATGACGTCAAAATAGCCGACACGATAAACGTGACGGGAGAGATTTTCGAAGTTGTTAATGAACCTGTGCCGGTTACATGTGTTAGTCATCATTGATCAACTGGCCGATCATTGAAAGGTGATAAAAGATGCGTCAAACAGACACTACGGTCAGAAGTCACACGTACTAAATAAAATTGTGTTTAGATCTTGGCCTACATCCTTTGAGGTAAGAAATTGTGATAAGAAAATATAAGAATGGACTTTCTAATTGACTAATTATAATCACTGTGTCCGAGTCATTTCTCTATTACGCAGCCTGTGCTGAATGCATGCCGTATGGTCTTTGCTAACTTCAAACATACGGTCCCTTATAATTATGTCTTATGTTTAAATTGGCGCACTGTTTGAAGAGAAACCGCACACATGTTACGAGATCCTATATGCTTTGTTCGTGCTCAATTAAGAAATAGACTATAAAAGGTAATAGATGAGAGTTACCTCCCTTTGTAAATAAACCCAGGTTTTGCGGAAATGATTCAATGTTGAAAGCGAAATAACGTTAGTCGACGTGTTTCCCAGGTAGAAGGCTTGTCTGACGAACAGGTAGATCTAATAGTCACCGTCAAATGCTGCTATGGAATGTTCATTATTTGTACCTTTTGTTCATACAACAATCTGCCATTGCATAAATATCGAACTCTATCTTAGTCTGTCTCCACCTGATTTAGATGTGTAGACAGAGAACTTATTGACAACTGAAAATTCAAATCAAGATAACAGTACTGGCTTGCGACCAATTTATTGCCATTTTTTCGTTTTATTTCTTTATTATTCCGTGTATGAAGTTGATTGTACCAAAAACTTTGATTTTTGTGAAAACATTAGCAAATAACCTTATGTCTGTGGAAAACGTTTGAGAAGATTTCTGTTGTAACGCTACGAGAGGTGATCAAAACAATGGAACTAGAAATTCTCTTTTGACTAAGTGTACCTGTTACTACCATCATTTAATCAGCACTTGCCTCGTGGCACCACTTCAGTTATACAAATTACATTTTTATTAGCTCTGGTTTCTCACTCGATTATTTTATTCATTAAAATCATTAAGAAATGTTTTATCAATTTGTCGTCTACCAACTGGCAACCATTATTCCAAAAAAATGATCTACATAGCTCATTGATAACACTATGTACTTGGGCTGTAATGATTCACCATTCCTACGATATCATCGATACTTAACTGGATACACTTGTCACTTGAATCGTCAATTTGTCAGATCGTTAAACGCTATAAATAGAACAGGAACTAATAGAGTTACCACTCGTAATGGCAGAAGTAGCTTAGCATCACCTGTAAGCAGGGGAGAGCACGAGTTTGTGGTGGCTGAGGACGTGCCGACTAACTGTTACATTTAATAACCACCCTTTCATTTTATGACTGTTTTATTCTTGTAGTTTTTTTGTCAAAGTTTTTGCAATAACAATAAATAAATGTGTAAAGAAAGGTGTCAGAACTGTATTTCAGTGATTTCATCATTTCTTACTATTTGATGTGGTGAATCGTGATACCAGAAGTATCGTCACTCCGTAGCAAAAATAAAACGATATGCGATCACGTGTGCACTATAACGGGGGATGGCGGTAATTGATCCTTGGCGATAACTAGTACTAGTAAGTCCTAGTCGACGCTGAAACAACGTTGTAAGTTCAAGATTTTGTTTGTTGTTTAATGCTGCACTCAGCCATATTCCAGCTATATGATTGCAGTCTGTAAATAATTGAGTCTGGACCAGACAATCCAGTGATTGACATTATGAGCCATGCATCAACCAAGTCAGCGAGCCTGACCACCCAATCCCGTTAGTTGCCTCTGATGACAAGCATATTCACCTTTTATGGCAAGGACGGGTTGCTGAAGACTATTCTACCCCGATTTTCAGTTCAAGATGTTTTCACAGGTCGCATAAGTTGAATTGTTTCAACGTTAATACATGGTTGATCAACATCGCGACAGGAATCAATCATCATCCAACGTTGAAAAAACCCATTGTGTGCCTGCTGGGGTATATAAAAATAATGTTTTACACGTTTCAGGTATTTCTTCTACAATGGCTGCAAACGTTCTTGGGATGGCATTTGTCCCCTACTACAATCACTTAATGACGATATTGGAAACAAACAAGGAACTCAAGAAAACTGCCACAGGTATACTAGTCCACAGGAATTATATGTTAGCGTGTAAAGTATAAAATAATCATATAAGAAAAAATTCTGTTCCCTCTAACATGGAATTCCTGTGTATGAGTTGTATATGTATGATGTCAGTGCAGTGCAGTCACTGACCGACAATTGTTAAATATTCATATAGATCTAGAACAATACAGCCATCCTTTTTATTTTATGCTACTGGCCACAAACCAATTATCGCAATTTTGTCGTCTTATTTCTGAAATATTCCATGTATAGGTTTAAAATTGACTGAACCAATAACTGTTTTAAACTAGTGGTAGAGTGTCTGCCAGGAGAGCAGAAGGCCAAGGGTTCGATTTCCGACCGTTTCATACCAAAAAACATTAAAAGATGGTACCCTGTCTGGCGCTCGGCATTAAGGGAATAAAACAAGGATTGGTCGGCTCGGAGTCAGTATCCTGAGTGGGTACCCAGTGGGTGGGGTGTTCATGTTAAACTGCGGCATGGTATCTCAGTGTGCTAGCACTATAAATCAGCATCTGTCCGGACAAGTACAAGCAGCCCCATCATTTCACATCATGTCAGTCATTTCGTAAACTGGTGGGAGGTTTATATCCCTCCGGTCATATCGTAGCCAGGTTGTGTCATATTCCTGGGTCATTTAGCATCCCTTTATTCCATCATAGGACAATGTTGTAAATAGTTTGACTAATAAAAATTTACATTTCCCAAAATACATACTTGACGTAAAGAGAAGCCTCTAGCATTTTGATTATTAAAATTAATTAATTGATATTGCCAATTGAACTAGTGTTGCTTATAAGCTCACCCACTGATTGGCTCAACTGGTATCTACACACTCAGTTGCTCCTACACTACTTGTGTGATTTGTTGTTTGACTGGTGATGAGTAGGGTACATGAGGCCATCCAGATGGCAGCATCCAGTTTCGCCTGCATCCAGTTTCCCTACAACCAGTTTCACCTGCAGTCTTAAATAAACAAAGATGGGGCTCAGTGATTTTGTTATGGTGTCACTTAAAGTCTCTCAACCCTCCAATAGTCAACCGAATGGGCCAGTCCAGTACTGTTGATTAATTCCTACAGGGACTGAGATAATCTCAAGTTAAAAGCTAAGATCGTACCGTTAAAAAATAGTAGGCCGATGGTAGGCTTAAAAAAAGAAAAGAATTGGTTCTCAGGCAATGACTTTTTAAAATATAGTGCGGGCGGTGATTTGGTTGTTTTTTTCTTGTTCAAACTAGTATGTAACCAAACAAACAGTTGTGTACCATCAACCTGGGAAAGGGCCTCCCTCCATAAACAAGCATACAAACTCCTATTGCTGCCATGACCATAACAGGAGATGTATAGTAAAGCAGTGCACATGTAAAGGGAAGTAACTGCGTGCAATATTCGATCACAAGATTTAGGATTTTAATAAAAAAAAAATTAATATGGAAATAAAAATGAAACATGCCACAGACTTTAGGATGATGCGGGCGGTGCCTGAGAACCATGGCTATTTTTTCTTTTAGCCTAACATAGACACTGACAATGGACAAGTCCATATGTTATACATGGGGAGCAATGTCAAAAGTGTGGGCATTGTTCCACACAACTTGTAGTTGTTAGTAGCTGTAGGCCAACAGCAGCTGTCACCATCCAGATAGTGCGTGCAGTGGGACAGAGGAGTAGAGGGCCATGAAGACCTCGGTCATAAAAGTTGTGAGACAATAGCATGTAATAGAACTGAGTGGGATACAGCTATGTAATGACCTACCTTCGTGTTTGTTGTTCAGGTATATTCATGCAAGATGACCTACCTACCCGTTTGTTGTTCAGGTATATTCATGCAAGATGACCTACCTACCCGTTTGTTGTTCAGGTATACTCATGCAAGATGACCTACCTACCCGTTTGTTGTTCAGGTATATTCATGCAAGATGACCTACCTACCCGTTTGTTGTTCAGGTATATTCATGCAAGATGACCTACCTACCCGTTTGTTGTTCAGGTATATTCATGCAAGATGACCTACCTACCCGTTTGTTGTTCAGGTATATTCATGCAAGATGACCTACCTACCCGTTTGTTGTTCAGGTATATTCATGCAAGATGATCTACCTTCGTGTTTGTTGTTCAGGTGTAATCAATAAGTTGATCTACCTTCGTGTTTGTAGTTCAGGTGTAATCAATAAGTTGATCTACTTTCGTGTTTGTTATTCAGGTGTAATCAATTAGTTGACCTACCTACCTGTTTGTTGTTCAAGTGTAATCAATAAGTTGATGTACCATCGTGTTTGTAGTTCAGGTGTAATCTATTAGTTGATCTACCTTCGTGTTTGTAGTTCAGGTGTAATCAATAAGTTGATGTACCTTCGTGTTTGTTGTTCAGGTGTAATCAATAAGTTGATGTACCTTCGTGTTTGTTGTTCAGGTGTAATCAATAAGTTGATGTACCTTTGTGTTTGTTGTTCAGGTGTAATCAATAAGTTGATCTACCTTTGTGTTTGTTGTTCAGGTGTAATCAATAAGTTGATCTACCTTCGTGTTTGTTGTTCAGGTGTAATCAATAAGTTGATGTACCTTCGTGTTTGTTGTTCAGGTGTAATCAATAAGTTGATCTACCTTCGTGTTTGTAGTTCAGGTGTAATCAATAAGTTGATCTACCTTCGTGTTTGTTGTTCAGGTGTAATCAATAAGTTGATGTACCTTCGTGTTTGTTGTTCAGGTGTAATCAATAAGTTGATCTACCTTCGTGTTTGTAGTTCAGGTGTAATCAATAAGTTGATCTACCTTTGTGTTTGTTGTTCAGGTGTAATCAATAAGTTGATATACCTTCGTGTTTGTTATTCAGGTGTAATCAATAAGTTGATCTACCTTCGTGTTTGTTGTTCAGGTGTAATCAATAAGTTGATGTACCTTCGTGTTTGTTGTTCAGGTGTAATCAATAAGTTGATCTACCTTCGTGTTTGTAGTTCAGGTGTAATCAATAAGTTGATCTACCTTCGTGTTTGTTGTTCAGGTGTAATCAATAAGTTGATCTACCTTTGTGTTTGTTGTTCAGGTGTAATCAATAAGTTGATCTACCTTCGTGTTTGTTGTTCAGGTGTAATCAATAAGTTGATGTACCTTCGTGTTTGTTGTTCAGGTGTAATCAATAAGTTGATCTACCTTCGTGTTTGTAGTTCAGGTGTAATCAATAAGTTGATCTACCTTCGTGTTTGTTGTTCAGGTGTAATCAATAAGTTGATGTACCTTCGTGTTTGTTGTTCAGGTGTAATCAATAAGTTGATCTACCTTCGTGTTTGTAGTTCAGGTGTAATCAATAAGTTGATCTACCTTTGTGTTTGTTGTTCAGGTGTAATCAATAAGTTGATATACCTTCGTGTTTGTTATTCAGGTGTAATCAATAAGTTGATCTACCTTCGTGTTTGTTGTTCAGGTGTAATCAATAAGTTGATCTACCTTCGTGTTTGTTGTTCAGGTGTAATCAATAAGTTGATCTACCTTCGTGTTTGTAGTTCAGGTGTAATCAATAAGTTGATCTACCTTCGTGTTTGTTGTTCAGGTGTAATCAATAAGTTGATCTACAATCGTGTTTGTAGTTCAGGTGTAATCTATTAGTTGATCAACCTTCGTGTTTGTTGTTCAGTTGTAATCAATAGGTTGATCAACCTTCGTGTTTGTTGTTCAGGTGTAATCAGTAAGTTGATTTACCTTCGTGTTTGTTGTTCAGGTGTAATCAATAAGTTGATCTACCTTCGTGTTTGTAGTTCAGGGTGTAATCAATAAGTTGATCTACCTTCGTGTTTGTAGTTCAGGGTGTAATCAATAAGTTGATGTACCTTCGTGTTTGTAGTTCAGGTGTAATCTATTAGTTGATCTACCATCGTGTTTGTAGTTCAGGTGTAATCTATTAGTTGATCTACCTTAGTGTTTGTTGTTCAGGTGTAATCAATAAGTTGATCTACTTTCGTGTTTGTTGTTCAGGTGTAATCAATAAGTTGATCTACCTTCGTGTTTGTTGTTCAGGTGTAATCAATAAGTTGATGTACCTTCGTGTTTGTAGTTCAGGTCTAATCAATAAGTTGATCTACCTTCATGTTTGTTGTTCAGGTGTAATCAATAAGTTGATCTACCTTTGTGTTTGTTGTTCAGGTGTAATCAATAATTTGAACTACCTTCGTGTTTGTTGTTCAGGTATATTCAAGCAGGTGGCGTGGGGAGCTGGGGGTACCATTGCTGGGGGTGTTGTCGGAGGACCAGTCGGTGCCATGGTTGGAGGACTTGCAGGTTTGTTATATATTTAAGTGCAACAGACTAGGAATTCAAGCATGTGATAGTCATACAGGACAAGAGTAATTTGGGGGAAAATATTTCAATGTACAAAGTACAATTTTGTTCCTAAAATACTTGTGTCAAAAATTAAACAAATAGAAGATTATTTTTTGTGGAAATGTCCATTCCAAAAAAGTTATAAGGAGCAAAGATGTGTTGTTTGAGTGAATCTTCAATTTATTATCCAACATGTTCAGGCTATAGACCTGTTAATGTCACACTTTTCATGTTATCTCTGACATCTTTGAAAATAAATGTTTGTTGTTTTTTTGTTAAACTACTGGCAACAAGAGCTGATTTTGCTCATCATAGTTTGAAATGAATGTAAATGAACGAAGTGAAACAGGTGAAGATTGCAGGTGTTAAGCTTATGTCTGAATGATTCTTTATGTATATGATTAAGTAACCCGTGAAGATCCGGGGTCTTCAGCAACCCATTGCGACTATGCTTGTCATAAGAGGCGTAAGAAGCGACTAACGGAAATCGGCTAGTCATGCTCATGGCTTGGTTGATGCATGTCATCGTATCCCTATTGCTTGGGTCAATTCTTCTCCTGATGTCAATCACTGGATGGTCTGGTCCAGATTTGATTATTTACAGACCGCCGTCATATAGCTGGAATATTGAGGCATTAAACAACAAACAAACAAAACAAAGCAATAACCTTCATTTCCTTTGTTTCTGTTTTAATATTCAAATCCATAAATTAAATTCTATTAATGACAAACTAAACTGGCTATGCAAATCTGTATCAAAACAACAATTTCTGATCATGTTTTACATGAGTTCCCCATGTTTCTGTCAGGGTCTTTGATGGGCTACTGTATGAGTGATGAGTACCAATCAATGATCACGACACTGAAAGGACTGACAGATGAGGACAAACGGCAGCTAGTCAGCCAAGTCCAAGGTGTGGTAGGATCGTCAGGGCTGGAGGCTCTCACTCGCTTCATAGGGGCACAGGCCCAGAGGGAAATTCTACTCAACGTACTGAACAAGTTTACTACAGATCTCAAAGGAGGATAGCCATTTGTAGAAAACATTCATGGACTCTTTCTTCCATGGATGATGTCCAGATATAAGACAGCTAATGTTCTGTAACACGTGATACATACCGGTATAATTTTCATTCTTATCCTAGAGGATTTAGATATGCACTTTATGTGTACATGTATTTTTCTTGTGTGCCAGTGACCGAAATGAGAAAACAGCTTGTACTTATGATATTTTTATATTTTTTTATTTAAATGGTATTAATATTCATGAATATCATGTTGCTCTAAACACAATGTGAAAGAGAGACCTGAATATGTATGCTTTTTAACAAGGGAGGGAGTTATTTCCCCTTGCAAAGTTTGGCCATATTGTGTTGGCACATCTTCTCATCAGATCATGGATATTATGTTATTATGTATATCATTTTGGTTTGTGCTCTCTTCATCAGCCTGTTTTTATTAACAAAATTAGTATATACATACATGTAGATATGCATTAGGACTGGGACGAGTCCAAATTTACTTCCCGGGTACCCGCCCCCCTATTAATCGCCCACCCACACTATATTTTTAAAGAACATTGCCTGAGAACCAATTCTTTTATTTTTTAAGCCTTATGTGTACATGTATTCATCCTCGTGTGCCAGAGACTGAAATGAGAAAAAAGATTGTACTTATTGATATTTTTATATTCTTTAATTAATGTGGTATTAATATTCATGAATATCACGTGGCTCTAACACAATGTGAAAGAGAGATCTGAAAATGTATGCTTTTTAACAAGGGAGGGAGTTATTTCCCCTTGCAAAGTTTAGCCATGCTCAGCTTAAGAAAATAAGAGAATTGAATCTCAGGCAATGTTTTTTGAAAATATAGTGCAGGTGGGGTGTGCCTTTTTTTGGTTGTATAAACTTGTATGTAACCAAATAAACAATTGTGTACAATCAACCTGAGAAAGGGCCTCCCTACAAAAAATACTGGAACACAGTATTTTACTACAGTTTGACTTTTGTGATTTCTTTGGGGTTTTAAAAAAATGGAAATACAAACAAAACATGCGGCAAACTTTATGATGATGCGGGTGGTGCTTGAGAACCAAGACTATTCTTTTCTTTTAGCCTTTTGTTGTCACATTTTTACATCAGACCATGGGTAGTATGTTATTATGTATCATATATATCATTTTGGTTTGTGCAATCTTCATCAGCCTGTTCATATTAAAGAAAATAATTAACACTGTCTAAGTATATACATAGATTTAGATATGCATACCACCAGTATTTTTTTTAAATAGCAACATTACGATGTAGGTATTATACAGGTCTTGATGTCATAGAGCACTCCACCATGTCACTTTTCTATCCTAGTGTACTTAAGTAATCCTTTGCATACTTCTGTTTGCTGGGTGAATTCAGGTTTTTCAGTGCATAATCCTTTGGAGAACTATTGGAGAAGTACATAACATCCCCTCATTGTTACATGTATCATCAATCAAGTGTATACTGATGCTTATATGTGTGTATAAATGAAATAAAGTATGGATTGGTTGATTTTATACAAGCTTTTTGTTTTAGTCTAGGTGTTCTCACTTCCAACACTTTTTTATATGTTTCCTGTAGGTTCCCAATGGGGACACGCTATAGAATAGGTTTCCAGCAGGCCATTGGTGGCTTGTGTAACTAGGGACTATATCTGAGTGGCTGAGACAGCTGTGCTTCATTGTGCCCTGGATTGTCAGGTTTGCGTTCAGTCACTGATCTGCAAAGTTCTGGAAACAGCTGGAATGTTAAACAACATTCACCCACATCTTACGGTTGTGAATTTCTTTCTCCAGTATTAAGATGTGTGAGTGTGTTTGTCCAGTACTAAGATGTGTGAGGATGTTCGTCAAGTATTAAGATGTGTGAGTATGTTTGTCCAGTACTAAGATGGGTGAGTATGTTTGTCCAGTATTAAGATGTGTGAGGATGTTTGTCCAGTATTAAGATGTGTGAGTGTGTTTGTCCAGTACTAAGATGGGTGAGTATGTTTCACCAGGATTAAGATGTGTGAGTATGTTTCACCAGTATTAAGATGTCTGACTGTGTTTGTCAAGTATTAAGATGTCTGACTGTGTTTGTCAAGTATTAAGATGTGTGTGTATGTTTGTCCAGTACTAAGATGGATGAGTATGGTTGTGAATTTCTTTCTCCAGTATTAAGATGTGTGAGTGTGTTTGTCCAGTACTAAGATGTGTGAGGATGTTCGTCAAGTATTAAGATGTGTGAGTATGTTTGTCCAGTACTAAGATGGGTGAGTATGTTTGTCCAGTATTAAGATGTGTGAGGATGTTTGTCCAGTATTAAGATGTGTGAGTGTGTTTGTCCAGTATTAAGATGTCTGACTGTGTTTGTCAAGTATTAAGATGTGTGTGTATGTTTGTCCAGTACTAAGATGGATGAGTATGTTTCACCAGTATTAAGATGTCTGACTGTGTTTGTCAAGTATTAAGATGTCTGACTCTGTTTGTCAAGTATTAAGATATGTGTGTATGTTTGTCCAGTATTAAGATGTGTGAGTGTGTTACACCAGGATTAAGATGTGTCAGTGTTTGTCCAGTATCAAGATGTCTGACTGTTTGTCAGGTTTTAAGATGCCTGACTCTGTTTGTCAAGTATTAAGATGTGTGAGTGTGTTTGTCCAGTACTAAGATGGGTGAGTATGTTTCACCAGGATTAAGATGTGTTAGTATGTTTCACCAGTATTAAGATGTCTGACTGTGTTTGTCAAGTATTAAGATGCCTGACTGTGTTTGTCAAGTATTAAGATGTGTGAATGTGTTTGTCAAGTATTAAGATGCCTGACTGTTTGTTAAGTATTAAGATGTGTGAGTGTGTTTGTCCAGTATTAAGATGTCTGAATGTGTTTGTCCAGTATTAAGATGTGTGTATTTGTCAAGTATTAAGATGTGTGAGTATGTTTGTCAAGTATTAAGATGTGTGAGTATGTTTGTCCAGTATTAAGATGTGTGAGTGTGTTACACCAGGATTAAGATGTGTGAGTATGTTTGTCAAGTATTAAGATGTGTCAGTATGTTTGTCCAGTATTAAGATGTGTGTGTTTGTCAAGTATTAAGATGTGTGAGTGTGTTTGTCAAGTATTAAGATGTCTGACTGTTTGTCAAGTATTAAGATGTGTGAATGTGTTTGTCAAGTATTACGATGCCTGACTGTTTGTCAAGTATTAAGATGTGTGAGTGTGTTTGTCCAGTATTAAGATGTCTGAATGTGTTGGTCAAGTATTAACATGGCAATGTAACTCGTTCTCCCCATAAGGTGCTTGTTGTTACCCAGCTTGGCGTCCGGCATTAAGGGTGTTAAACAAGGTCTGGTCCACTCCGAGTCTGTATACTGTGTACATGCACATCCCTATATATATAAGCCCAATAATCTTGAACTCAACATTAAAGCCCATTTCACTTCACCTACAAGTTGTATGCCCGTTTGTGATGCATGTACTACTTAATAGGAAAAGTCATCACCAATCAAAACATATGAAAACATCACACCTTTCTTTTGAAACTTGGGAATAAACGCATTTAGAAACGTGTACAAATCTCGAGACGAGGCGGCTATATTTTACGTACGCTTTAATCAATACTACCTGTACTACAGCAAGCAGTGGATGTTTTATCTCTTTTCAATATCACTTCTGTGACGCTCATTGTGTCCGTACGTATATACATAGTTAGAGAAAGAGATATTATACAAAGAACTGTTTTATCAGTTGAATGTATCAGATAAAGTATTTGTACACGTGCCAATTCCTTTATCCCGTAAACAAAGCACGTTTGATCATCGCATATACTAAATTTCCAGAATATTCATGAAAACTTTGACTTAAAAAACATTCATTCATTGATAAATCGCTTGTATTCGAATCAGTAGAGATTACTGACGGAATAAAACATACAATGCAGTCCCCGAGTTGGGTTCGAACCCAGTGACTGATGTGTGGGAGGATTTTTTTTATAGAAAACAGTTTTATTTGAATCATGAAAATACAAGTTGGGGACAAGAGATACTTGTACAAATATTTGCCCCCTGTCAAAAAAAGTTAACTACGGCCTTGTTGGCTACATATTATCATAAATTTTGAAAAGCCTTCTTTGCGGAAAAGATTCATCAAATTGTTGTTAAATCCCGGCAGAACCGTGACAGTCCAGGAAACGAGGATATATGTAGGAGACTTCACCAGGTGTTTGCCACGGCACTGTAGCTCACCTGGGAATGGTGTCAATGGTTTAAAATGGCGACTAAGCCACGTGACATAATTAAGTTGCCGTCAGAGTTGATAGTCAAATATTCTGCATAAATACTGAGGATAAACCAGCACGTAAATCTTGTGATTTTAACAAAATGTGTCGTCATAGGAGACGCGTGCAAGCTCAGCTCCCTCAGTCTGGCAACTACAGAGTAGAGAAGTTTGCAAAGCTGAATATGAATTTTGAGGCAATTTAAGAGCACGGTCAAAGAAGTTTCAGCTTTCAGTATGGTCAAATCAAGTACAAAAGGTCAAATCAAGCTCATAACTTAAAACCTCGGGGAAAAATGCATCTAATTTCATTACTTTTTTTTCAAAGAAATGGCCGAATAATGGTCATTAATAGGTTTCTCAACATGCCGGCCATATTGGAATCTTATTCGAACCTCGTAAGCAACAGGGGTATTATCATTGGTCAAGTGGTGTCACAAAAGTGGTAAACGTCTGTGACGTGCATCACTTCGGGCTTTCCTCCCACATTAAGCTGACACGCCGTGATAAAACTGAAATACTGTTCAAAGCGGCGTTAAACCCAACTCACTCACTCACTCACTCACTTACTTGATTCCCACACAGAAGCCCCCATACGTATCTCAAAACCTATTGAAAAATAACAATCTGAAGTTATTTAAGGATTTTTTATGTATTCTTTTGTGTGCATCTATCGAAGGATAACAGTCACAAAACGTTGATTTGTTTATAACTGCACAACGAAACAATGTTTATCAATGTGATCACATTAGTAGCACTGAAAGTATCTGAGGTAAGTTCTTAGGAAACATGTCAATCCCCTGTAAATTAATTTTGACCGCTCCTTTGCTGGTGAAGTAATTCCTCAGTCAAGGAACATCTAATTCTGATAACGAAGTAGCTGTTAATTATCCATTGAAGAAACTATTCACTTCAACAGAGGTATTATCAAGCACAATAAACACCAGGGCCTGGTGGGCTCACGCATCAACGTATAGAGTATGCTGGAAGATCTTTATTTATGCATATTATGTTACTTTTGTTTGTTTGTTGTTGTTTAACGCCGCACTCAGCAATATTCCAGCCATATGACGGCGGTCTTTAAATAATCGAGTGTGGACCAGACAATCCAGTGTTTGACGTCATGAGCATCGAACCACGCAATTGGGATCAATGACATGCATCACCCAAGTCAGCGAGCCTGACCACCCGATCCCGTTAGTCGCCTTTTACGACAAGCATAGTCGCCTTTTACGGCAAGCATGGGTTGCTGAAGACCTATTCTACCCCGTATCTTCACGGCTCTATTATGTTACTATTCATTGCTACTAGCTCGTATTATTAAACAAGAATATATTCCAAAGTGTACAGTATCGGCGAAATCTTATACCATTACATGAGGAACAAGGAGAAACTAAAAACCTAAGCGTTGCTTACAAATGCCGTAAAATACAATGTAATCAAGAGTGCTGTCCAAACTATAGGATTTAATACTAAATCAATGTCGCCTGAAAATCTGTACATTAGCGTATAAATTGTCTGTAAGAAAATGAACTGTTTTTGCTGGAGTGTACATAAGTATTGTTAACCGTCAGCAAAATAGAGATGAAAATAATACAGTAAACTACGTTTATAACGAATACGCTTATAACGAACAGAACGATATAAGAAACTTACTTTTTGGTCCCGACCCTTTGTTGTATAAATGTTGTATATAGGCTTATAACGAACTACGGTTATCACGAACAAAAATTAGTGGTCCCTTCGAGTTCGTTATAACCGTAGTTTACTGTAATGTGAATGGATCACTGGTGCTGACACCAGGTGTTCGCCAAAAGGGGAAGCATGTCCTGGTCTACCCATAGCACCTGCCACTCAAAACATTTGCATGAAAAAGTAACTGTTTGTTGCCTGACGCAGCATCAACAAGCACCGGAGATCATGCATAATGAAATAGAGCAATACAATTGTTGTAATATTAATAAAAGGATACAGCAAATGTTTCTATTCTGACTTGGATAGTTTAGACATAAAACATAGTTTAGAATTATTAGCATGTTACGTCATGTCTTTAAAAGGTTTTGAAAAGAAAAGCGACAAAAATCTTTTCCATAATTGTATAAACTCAGGGTAACATATATACATTGTCCAACAGCATCACTGTCAGAATAAAGTCCACGTCATACATATATTGAAAAACAAAGAACAAACGCAGCGAATACCAAGTTTAATTACCTCTTGGCGGCCACATTAAAAATCGTATTCCAGCCTCTTGAACATATCGGGGTGCCACCATTGGGGATAATCGAGGGGGAAAACGCAACATATAAATGTTGAATCCTACAGCTAGAGAAAACATGTTCCGAATTCCATTACATTTTGAGCGGAAATGGCCGAGTCATAATGTTTAAAAATGGGGTTTTCAATATGGCTGCCAAGGCGGACAAAAGGCCATGAGCTACAGGTGAGCTACAATTTGATTTGATTTGTTTGTTTGTTTCTTTGTTGATTAACGCCGCACTCAGCAATATTCTAGCTTTATGACGGCGGTCTGTAAGTAATCGAGTCTGGACATGAGCATCGATCCACGCAATTGGGATCGCTGACGTGCATCAACCAAGTCAGCGATCCTGACCACCCGATCCCGTTAGTCGCCTTTTACGGCAAGCATGGGTTGCTGGTGACCTATTCTACCCCGGATCTTCACGGGCCGCTACAATTTGAATTAGATTGTGTAGTGTTATAACGGGGACGTTATCGGAGGGGAACAACCGGTCCATTGAGGAACAGCACGTGCAGAGGACGCCAGCTCTGTATAAAGAGGAACACCTCCTCGATGGAGGAATACCAGCGCTAGAGAAACATATGTTGGATAGAGGACCACTTCCTCGATGACTGGGTCACCCGTGTACCTCTGCGGTTACATAATAAACTGTCAATGTACACATAACCGTTGTGGGTGAGTTGGGCTTATCGCCGCTTTGAACAGTATTCTAGTTATATCACCCCGTGCCAGCTTGATATGGGAGAAAGCCCGAAGTGATCCACATTGGTGAAGCCCACGAGCACGGATATGGTGCTGACAAACTTAGAAACGTAATCGGGGCGAACCGGGGTTCGAACCCACGATCACAGGTTTTAGGCGTGTCCAAGGGACGCAACCCTGCACAGCGAATTGCGGCGCATTAGACGACTGGGCCACCCGTACCCCTCATAAGTCATAACCAATGTGAGCGTTATGTCAACAAATAGAGTATATACAGTTTTTTATAGAAATATCAATCTTGTTTTCACTATGCATGAAATTACATGTTTACTCCATAATAACACAAAAAGAAGACTTAAATCTTTTCCCATTTTCCAGTTGACATAAACATAGTTGTTTAAAGATATATCCCCGTGCAAAAAAAGAAGAAAAAAACAAGCAGTGAATGCTTGCTCTTTGGAAGCATCAGAGGGGATACAAAATGTATCCATTATATTGCTTCATTAATCTCAGGAATGGTGCACAGGTGCACAAGTGGTTTCTAATGCAAATTTGCTGGCATGTGTGATGTTTTAAATGCTTTAGTTAACGACAATGTGGTTTCTTTGATCATTGGATATAATAAAGTAATACAAGTGTATATTTCATATGTTTTACGAATCCAGGCAAGTTCGGTCTCAGCGGATCAGTCATAAACGTACTTTTATCTCAATATTTTATAGAAATGTATTTGATAATTGAAATAAACTAGTGCATTTGATTGATAACTGAACTGTGATCCTATTGGCCAGGTAGGACTACATGTTTTTGAGTTCGTCATATATATTTCCCCGGGTCTGTCAGCAGTGGATTGGCTGCAAAAGTTACGTTCGGTCGCATGACGGCCTATCACTGCGAGATGTGCAGACACGGCCCTTGGCTAAATATATCCAGCTCCACCATTGGATGGTTTGTCTGGAGTTATTGTAGAAGGAGAAACGCCCCAACCATGCTACAAGGCACACTGTGACGATTCATCTCACAGCTTATAACGATTTGGAACGCTCTCGAAATTTACACGTGAGTATGTCTGACACTTACACCCTTTTCTTAAAATATTCCCTACATGTGGTTTATTTGTATTGTACATACAGTAATTGTGTGTCGACTATAATCTGTGCCTCCTTGTCAGTCAGCGATATGTGGAATTTGCCTCAGTCTGGCAAAATGTATGCTTCTATATAAATACCCGTTTTAGTGTTTGGCTTGAAAGTCATGGTAGTTTAAGTGATGAACAAAACACGGTTTAAAACAGAAACACGTCTGAAAATATTTATGGTATATTCTATAATTGACTACAGTATGGTATCTGAGCGTTCGCCCTTTCTTTGCTTCATTGACGCACTGAAAGGTTTTTATGGAATTCATCGTAACTGTCTCTTGTATAGCAGTTTTCCAGCAATATCACAGAGGGGGATACCAGAAATATGCTTCACACATTCTACCATCGACACTTATATTTAGGGTCCATGATTGTACTCATATGGGAACTAGAACCCGTGTGTAAAGGACCACTTTGACTAGCTGGACCATTTTTTCTAATCTGTACGGGTAAGAAACAGCGGTGACCAGACATGTGACCAAAGTCTGGCTCAGTTTAATCACTTCTATATGGTGAAATTCGTTTAGATGCACATATTCGTTTTTACTTAAAACTTCAAAGCTATGTAGCGAACAGAACTGGGATAAACACTTTAGATAATTATATCTGTCACATGCAACTATGTGTTTAATTGACAAACATTTAATAAGAGCAAAATCATCTGCACTTCTTGTGATTTGTATTTTTACTCAGTTCGCCAATGGCAGTGCTACTGACTCGATGTCCGTCATTTGTAGCTAAATACAGCAGAGCATAAAAGTGGTAATGCGGAACTAAAACGGAATACAATTTCTTATTTTTATACAGATCGCTAATGAAAAAGAGCAATTCCTATAAAAATGGTCGGTTAGCGGGTTACAGCCTATTACAGTTGTGAAGGAGACGAAGCATTTGTTAAAACTATGTTGTTTCATATGCAAAGCTTATTATCAAAGTTCATGTTTCTCAAAGGTTGGAAATGTGAATGACAATCATCAGAAAACAAAACTCTCAAGATTCCTTTCATTCTTGGAAGTATTACATTTATGCCACTTCTGGTCGAGGGGATGTGAGTAATAATATAGTCAAAAATCTCTTAAAATTAGAAATATTGACTCGTTGCATTCAGATTCTGCTCACAAGTTTGAAATGGGGTTTAGTAGCAGCCAAAAGAAAATCTTAAGATTCCATAAACTGTAGATTTTACAGGCGTTATCCCATTTCTGGTCAAGGCGATATGAGTAATAATATAGTATTTTCTTGAGTACAGTGCTCACTTTTCCCAAAAAAACACAGCTGTGTAGAACGGGGTGCGCATTATACACGAAATAATCAGTTTTGATGGTTTTTTCCCCATGGAAAGACGTTAGATCCACGAGCACCGTGAGCACGTAACACCTGAAATACCATGTCAACAAATCCATACTGAAGTACGCAAATTAATCATGTAATTACATTGTCTTGCTATAAAACGTGTTCTTTGTATATCTGGACTTATGTTTGTAACTTATTTCATTAATTTTATTCAAAATTCCTTTTAATATTGTTTTAATTAATTTCGGCGAAAGCGTGGGTGAAGCGATCGGAAGATCGGACATCTCACCGTTATTAACAGTAACAACGGTCAGATTACCGCTATTGACGCCTTGAAACGAACTTTAGTTGACAGAGAATATATATCATAAATGCCATACTTTAACCCGTTAAAAGTCATATTTGTTTTTGTTTGACGATTCTATGTCAACACGTAATTCTCGCGATCACGTGGGCGGGAGCCTTGACGGTGACTGGTCAGACTGGTTCCATGTAAAAAATAATGCCAGGGAATGGCGATCAGCTGCTTCGCTTAGGGTTATTATTATTTTAAATATGTTCAGTAAAAGTTGCATCTAAATTAACAAGATATTGGAATATATTAATCCTGATTAAAACAAAAAATAGTTTCAGATACAATTTTTGCCGATCCTTGCATTAAAATCCTCTAAAGTTATATCATTGGGTGTGTCTTGACCAAATCACCGGTAGATTCCAAGAAAACGTGTGTACAGCTGATTGCCGTTTCCGGCTTAGTTTATGAGAAAATACACAAGGTAATCTTAATCCCTGGATATAAAACAATGCCTAGCAGAACAAAAATACAATTTAAACGTAAATCAACATGTCTGGTGATTTTTTATCTCAAATTTCGAATTTGTACTGACGAAGTTTCTCATCACCCGTTCGTTTGCCGGACTTCGCTGAAGCCTATATAGTGAGTGAGTGAGTGAGTTGGGTTTAACGCCGCTTTTAACATTCCAGTTTCCAGTTATATCACGGCGTGTCAGCTTAGTGTGGGAGGAAAGCCCGAAGTAATGCAGGTCTAGGACGTTTACCACTTCGGTGAAACGGGGGCACGGGTGGCCCAGTCGTCTAAGGCGCCGCGATTCGCTGTGCAGAGTTGCGTCCCTTGGGCACGCCAGAAACCTATGCTTGTGGGTTCGAATCCCGGTTCGCCCCGATTATGTTTCTAGGTTTGTCAGCACCATACCCGTGCTCGTGGGTTTCACCGAAGTGGTAAACGTCTGAGACCTGCATCACTTCGGGCTTTCCTCCCACATTAAGCTGACACGCCGTAATATAACTGGAATACTGTTAAAAGCGGCGTTAAAACCAACTCAGTCACTCACTTCGGTGAAACCCACGAGCACGGGTGCTGACAAACCTAGAAACATAATCGGGGCTGTTATAACCTAGCCCTCAGACTAGAGAGAATACCAGAGGCGTTCGGGAGAGACTTTTATTCCGCCAGCCACATGGCCGGTCAACATATCATAGCCGAGTGACAGCTCGTGCGGACTACCTTCACAGGCACGTGAGGTATTCATGCCTTAGCTGGTATCTGCTGCATTTGCTGACACACCTCACACTTTTTCACTGTCGACTCCAGAATTGAATCCATGCTAGGCCACCACACATAGCTACGAGCAAGTGCCTTCATCCTACTGATTCCTGTATGTGCCTCATGAAGTTCACGAATAATCCTATCCCGACCTGGCGGGGGAATCACTACACGGTTACCCCACAACACACAGTCATGCTGTACTGTCAGCTCATCACGGCGACAGTAGTATGCCTTCATTTCTGGGTTTTCACAGAAATTAGGCCATCCACACTCCACATATCTCAACACTGTTGACAACACAGGATCCTGGCGCGTCCATGAACGAATATGTTTGGAGGTCACAGGTGTAGTATCCATCAATTCCAGAAGCATGATGTATTCCGGAGGTACAGGTGTTTCTTGAATACTTGGTTTTTCTTTCGCAGGAAGTCGGCTCAGACAATCCGCATTGACGATCTGTGATCCTGGTCTGTAGACAAGTTCATACTCATAAGCAGACAATGTTAGTGCCCACCTCTGAATCCGGGCTGATGCCATCATTGGTATCACTTTGGTCTCAGCAAATAATCCAAACAACGGTTTGTGATCAGTCTCTGTAGTGAAATGATTTCCTGCCAGGTACTGGTGAAATTTCTTCACCCCAAAGAGCATTGCTGAGCCTTCCTTTTCCAGTTGCGAATAGTTTTTTTCAGCTGAGTTTAGGGATCGTGATGAATATCCAATGGGACGATCGCCTCCCTCTTTAGTACGATGAGACGGTACCATACAAACTCCGTAGGGCGATGCATCACAACAGAGAATCAGTTCCTTCTTCGCATCATAATGAACGAGAATTTTATCAGAACAGGCAGTGACTTGGATTTCTCAAAAGCTGACTGTTGTCGGCTTGTCCACTTCCATGGTACTTCTTTCTGTAACAGTTTGTGTAACGGTTCTAGAGCAGTGGAAAGGTTTGGCATGAACCTTCCATAATTGGTCAGCATACCCAAGTAGCTTTTCAGTTCTGTCACATTCCGCGGAGGTGACGCTTCCTTGATGGCCTCGACCTTTTCAGCGACTGGATGGGTGCCCTCTCTATCCAGACGGTATCCCAGATACACAACTTCTGTTGCCATGAAGCTGCACTTGTCCTTACGAACTCTCAGACCTGCTGCCGCTAGTCTCCTCAGAACTTTATCTAAGAGTGTCAAGTGTTCATGCCTCGAACGGCCACCAATCAGAATATCATCAATCCTGACCAGAACTTGTTCAAGACCTTGTAGGGTATTCTCCATGATGCGTTGAAATATACCAGGAGCTGACGACACACCAAATGGCAGACGGTTATACCGAAAGAGTCCTTTATGTGTATTAATTGTGACGTACTGCTTGGAATGTTCGTCCAACAAGACCTGCTGGTAAGCTTGACTTAGGTCCAACTCAGATTAGAACTTTGCTCCTCCTAATGTTGCGAACAGGTCATCTGTCTTTGGAATTGGGTATTTATCCAACTTGGACACTTTGTTCACAGTCACTTTATAGTAACCACAGACTCTAATACTAGAGTCGGACTTCACCACAGGTACTATTGGTGCTGCCCATTCAGAAAACTCTAGAGCTTCTATTGTACCATTACTCTGTAGGCGATCAAGCTCCTGTTCAATCTTCTGCTTCAATGCATATGGGACTGGTCTTGCTTTATGGAAGATTGGTTGGGCATTCTTGTCAACATATATCTTTGCTTTCGTTTCTTTGAACGTACCCAAACCACCCTTGAACACTTCAGGATGCTTATCCAACACAGTTCTCAAACTGCTTATATTCCAATCAACAGCAAACACATCAATCCAGTTACGTCCAAACAGACTAGCACGGTTCCCTCGGGCGACTAATAGGGGTAGACTCGCAGTCACTCCTTGAAAATCAACCTCCACCATCACCTGTCCCGCAAGATCAAGCTTATTTCCGGTGTATCCAAGGTATGATTTAGTCGTAGGTGTCACAGTCAAGTTCTCTACACCCTGTTGAAGATGTGACAGAGTCTTTTCACTCACAATGGATACCGCAGCCCCAGTGTCAAATTCCATCTTCAACTCTTGACCGTTGACTTGTACTGGTACATAAACTGGTTTGATCACTGAACCAGAAACCATGAACATCTCATATGCTTCACTCACATCCACAAATCCCTCAGAATCCTGACGACTGTGAATCATGTTCTTGAATGTAGTTGGCTCTATTTCCGTACTGTCTGTGATGTTTACCTCGGCAACCTCGACTCTGTCTCCCACCTCGATGTGAAGCTCTCCTCTGACCATTTCCCCTCCTCTTGAGACATTTCTGTGATAAATGTCCAGCAAGTCCACACGAGTAACACTCCTGGATCTTTAAAACGGCATGTTGAAGGGTCATGTCTTCCGCCACCAGAAAACAAGAAGAACTGTAGTTACCTCCCCTGGCTGGTTTCTTCGTAATAAAGTTGACGATGCCAGTGTCACTGCATGTTGCAGTTTGATTCTGAAGATCAGCAGAATTTTTGTCAGCCGCTTCCATTGATGTTGCTATGGCAACGACTTTGGTGAATGTCAGATTATCTTCTGCCAGTAACCTAGCTGGATAACATTTTCTGTTTGTTTATACCGCAAACGAATCTGTCCCTCAGCATGTCGTCAAGGAATGCTCCATAATCACAAAATTCAGTCAGTTTTCTCAATACAGCAACAAACTCACTGATGGTCTCGTTGGACTTCCGTACTCTCATGTTGAAATTGTAGCGGTGCACAAACTTCGACGGTTGGGGGTTGTAATGGTCTTTCAACAATTTTCCAAGTCCTCAAAACTTTTTGACGTCGGCTTTACTGGGCGAAGTAAGTCTCTTATCAATCCATAAGTTTTACCTCCCACAGAACTCAGTAGGGTCTGACTTTTACGTTCAGTTATGGAAGAAGATCTTGGCTCGCTCCGCATATTGGCTCCAATCTTCGACTGTTTCGTCAAACTCGCCAAGATTCCCGTATACAGACGATGCCATCTCGACTGCGCTCCCAAACTTCGCAAATCTTCAGGTTTATACCTCGTCGCCAATTGTTATAACTTAGCCCTCAGACTAGAGAGAATACCAGAGGCGTTCGGGAGAGACTTTTATTCCGCCAGCCACATGGCCGGTGAACATGTCATAGCCGAGTGACAGCACGTGTGGACTACCTTCACAGGCACGTGGGGTATTCATACGCGTTACTCTTACAGTAAATAGTTCTGGGGTACATCGGGTAATATAATACTTATCAAGATATTACAGGGGCGAAGCGGGATTCGAACCCACAATCATAGGTTTCTGCACAGCGAATCGCGGCGCCTTAGACGACTGTGCAACCCGTGGAAACCTATATAGTCAACAATCTCTTAAAATTAGCAATATTAACCACAGCGTTCAGATTCTGCTCACAGGTTTGAAATGGAATTTACTATCAGCAGCCAAGAAAAAATCTTAAAATTCCATTGATTGTAGATTTTGAAGGACTATAAAAGAGCATATATCAAAATAAGGCAAATTGCCCTAATCTAGCCTGTCCTAACTGACACTGTGATTACCCTTAAAATGTATTTTTACAGGTAAAATGATGATCAATTTAGAAAATATTCGTGTGTTGTCATGCATGTATGAAATGGCCTATAACCTGAGGTAGTTACCTAACACCTGTCCTGAGGTGATGACCTCACACCGGCCCGTGCATTCTCCCAGGTGGAAATGTCACCGAGTTGGGGGTGGTCTCAAAATATTGCTGTTATTGTACTTAATTGACATGCGTTGATAGCAATTTAGGATATGTACTGCATTATATTTGCTTGGAAACATGATGGAATAGTTAAGAGCTATGAAACGGGATGATCATGAGTATTGGAAGGTTGCGGTTGTGGAATCAGGGAGTATTTGTTGTTCTGCAGATGATTTCTTGAGGTAGCATTTACCACCGCTGATGACGTATATGAATCTGTACTTTTGAATGTTGTGTTATGTCTTGCCACGAACCCTTTTCACTTAGCCAAGATGGGCACAACAGGGTTGAGCTCATAATGTCTGACTGGCGTACGTAAGACAACGTGACCGTGTTGTGCCTCCAGCACATATGTCCTGTACTTTACAAGGCTCTTATTCAGCCGAATTTTCTCCATGAGTTGAACTTTCGTTTCATATGGTCTGAAGTCGACAATGTCATATATTCCTGTGTGGTCGCCTTCAGACTAGTCATGGTTTTGGCGACAGTATCTGATTCCCGGGCGTTATATTAACTGACGTTATCTATGACAATGACACTGACTTTGTTTAAAATGGGCAATAGCTGAAGTTCCAACCAGTCTATGAACACATCACCTCCTATAATTTTCTTATGAAAATCACCAGTTTCTTTTTCACCTCGAAAACAAGCACACATCCATCAAAAAGCCCCATATCATGGGTTGCAGCATGCAAAACAATAACACGATTACCTTTACTGGATGGTCTATGGGTACGTTTTGTCCATCTGCCGATAGCCACATGTTGTCAGTGGAATGATTCATCAAGGTAATTTACCTGGACGCCCTAACTGTGATAGTTATAAATGGTTCGGAGATAATGTGACCTCATAGACAGGATGGAATATTTTCCCCTGTAAAGTGCTCGGTCATCGCCACGCGCAGTGTATCGAAATCCCATCTCTTGGAGAGCAATGGTTAGTGCAGTTAACATTAATTGTATCTTTAATTCCTCCCAAATTCTACAACAAGTTAGGGTTACCTTCTGCTCATAAAGCTTGTACACTATACGCCTAATCACCCTGTATCAAAGCTGTCTAATATCCTTTTACGCCCCAGTTTCCTTTTTGAGACAACCCCTATACATGTTTTGTTTTATTTAGCATACCGTAGACTTGATGGTATGAATTGAAAACCCAATAGCTTGGGCAGTTCGGTAATTCATCTAAATTAACAAATGGTTTCTCTCTATCTCTCTAAAGTGTAAAGAACTTGTATACATTTCCCAGTACAGACTCCATATCGTGTACCATGGTTATGGCTATGCAAGTGTAATGTAACATTCATCATGGGAACAATGTTAACAAAACAAACGCAGCGTCATTTTGTCATTTTAGAAGATGCACATCTAGAATTTTCTCAAAATGATTTTTGTGTATGGATTAGATGTTTTATGAAGACTACATTATTATCATTATAACGGAGTCATGTGCGCATATTTCTGTTGTCCGTTTCAGACTGCCATCATTGGACTTAGAATAAATGTAAACTTCCTGTTTTCGTTCGGATTTTTCTCCTGTAAACTTGTCAATAGGACTCCTTGTGACTGAAATACTTTCAGTCACAATGTAGGGCGATCGGTAGCTGCTCGATATTTCAATAACAACAGTCTGTGAAAAATTATATCGTTTTTTTTACTGGCCAAAAGGAGTTTTCTAGCATTTCCGACTGTACTTTAGTCAAAAACCACTTAAAATTAGAAATATTGACCCATAGCATTCAGATTCTGCTCACAACTTTGAAATGGGATTTACTATCATCAGCCAAGATGAAATCTTAAGATTAAGATTAAGATAGGTGATATCCAATTTCTGGTCAAGGTGATATGAATAATATATAGTCAAAAATCTCTTAAAAGTAGAAACGTTGACCCTTTG